AAACAACCGAAAAAGCATCGACCAGCCTACTTCTCAACAGGAAACGAGTTTTTTACGTGCATACGTAGACGAAAATTGCGCCTTTCTTTACTGACAGGACAGTTTTGTCAGGTATATTGGAAATATCCACAGTCAAGTCTCTTAAGAAACTTGGGCTTTGGGAACACGTTGATAAAAAAGGATTGATGTGAATCTCTCATGTGTGTTCTACGCACGAAACTGTGATATTCACAAACAGTTACACTGTTCAGTAACTCCTGTTTGTGAACTTGGTGGTCGTGCCTACAACCTACAACAGAGAGCCAGCAAAGAAAGTCGGCCAATCCCCCACTTATAGACGTACTTAGTGTCTGCGCTTCCGCCCTGTGTGGTGTAGTAAATATATCCATTTATGGAAATTAAGGTTATAAAAAGTCGTTGGAGCGGTTTACAAAGTGGAGAGGGTTGTTAACATCTCAGTTTCAAAAATAGCCGCTTAAATATGGTTTACATTTCTTTGCGTACAGTGTATTTTTTGTCATTCGATGTTTTTTCCCCCGCATTAAATTAAATATTTTGTTACTCAGTGTATTCCAGTTCTGGCATTCAGGGTATAGTATTTATTTATTAGGAATAAAGACCGACTTCCCAAGCAGTCGACACTAGTGTATAGATAGAACATCACCACCACCGTATTCACGCGTGTCCAAAAGGTGAAGCGGCATCATCCGGGAACAGTTTGAGGGCTGCACAAAATAAATCAGTAGGAACAAGACTTTAAATTGCTGGTTTCTGTGATATAAATTTTTTTTATGAGCAATTAAATTGTTGCGATTTTCATTTGTATTGACTAGATATTGTTTTCTTCAGAACAATTCTTAAAATTTTAACATGCATATTTGTCCGATCTGTTACGTATTATTTTCAATTAAGTTTAACTTGTTCAGTATAGTTTACAATTTAAATTAAGTCATTCCAAAAAACTGAGAGCAGCCGTGGTGTAGCGGCTAGATGCTCGCCTGCTGATAGGAAGGTCGTGGGTTCGGGTCCTGAAGGAGCTGGATTTTTTTTTAAAATGACATTGGCTCTGCAGTGGGTACGAGGTACAGTCCTGAAAAGTAAAGGCGGTCGGCGTAATGCTGAGCACATCACCGGCAAAGGCGTCCCAAATATGGTTCTCCTTGAATACCTATACTGACAGTATATCTACGCCGGTCGTGAGTGTGTGGGGTATAGACATCGATGGAACAAACACAGTGGTATAAGTTTTGACGGATGCTTGTCACACAAGAACCACATAGACAATGTCATCGTTAGAGTCAGGAAAAGTCTGATGGCGCTGAAGGCGATGCCGTTCGCCAACATTGAACAACGCCTACTATTTCTACTCTGTTAGGAACTTGTACTAAGTGTTGAAGAATACGGTTTGGACCTCTCCATAATCAGCAGAATCCGGCTAGAAAGACCTGGTACAAAATGAGTCCATGAAACACCTATGGCCGATCATATATTTTAAAGTTTTCCGAGATCAGCTTGTGTACTTCAACAGGGCCTCATGGATACATGTAGATTAGGGCCTAGTCAAGTCTAAATTTGGCCCTGATTATGACACACTATCACTTCCAACCACACAGACACATTTTATGAATTCAAATATTAGAACTGCCTAGTTGGCCTTCTACAACCGGTATCCAGGTTCATTCGTCGCGTGTGGGCAGGATTATTTTTCTGTCAATGTAGGTCAGTGGTCGGCAATTCGCGGCTCGGGAGCCGCATGCGGCTCTTTGGCGACCTGAGTGCGGCTCGGTCAGTCGGCCACAAATCAATTTTGACTCCGAAAAACATTGTTCTTGATGGGTTCTTGAAAAATAAATTTGGCTCTCAAAAAATTGTAATTGTCCTGCTGCTGATTTTTGGCTCTTTTCACCAATGAGTTTCCTGACCACTGGCTTAGGTCATCGATTTAACCATCGATTATACTTTTCGTTCAGGTATATATCTTCTATCGATTTAACCAGCCGCATTTTGTCCGTTTCCCCATTCAAGCTGCTCCCTAAAGATTTCACCTCTCTGAGATTAGACAAATTCAGCCTTGATGACAAGCCAATAGGACACATCCTGAATACCCCGTTCATCATCTAAGGAGGTTGTAACTGGGCACCCGTAAGGTCGACGTCAGCCTAATGTTATGTGTAGTCATGGGCGGATAAGTAAAATGAATACCGAACTGTTTTCTTGGAATGAAAGGAGCTGAAGGCGGGAACTTCCTAGACCGCCCCATTATACCTTGGCCTAGAAATTGTCAATGCTGAACACTCCACACACAACGGCAGAATCTGGCATGGGGCAATTTTTACTATTAGTTTATACTTGTTATTTTCAGCTAGCATCTCCCTGACCAGATCCGACCCACAGATGCCCAGCATGTGGCTAGAGTAGCATTGCAGTTGTACTGTGTTATCCCCGTGTGGGTTCAGGGGTCCCATTGTAGTGAAACCAGAATAGACCCCCCCCCCCCAGCCTCCCAAACAAGCATGTCGAAGGAGTCGACTAACAGGGGACTTCCTTCGAAGTCGGAGTGCAGTTGCCTGGATGGCAAAGAAACAACCAGCTGCACACAAACAAGTCAGTAAAACGGATGTACACGCAAAACTCCCTGGCAACAAGTTAAAATGGAAGAACAACTAGGACTTTTCACCAGAGCTTACAGCCAGGGAAGAAAGAAGAAGAAGAAGATAAGAGGTATTGTGTTAATGAGCTTTCTGTGCTGGGCTTGGACTTCTGATCCGTGACGATCCACATTTGCAATATTTTATGTTGACTGTGGCAGAGACTACCACTCCCGCATTGGACTCTACATTCATAGTAGACACCGTTTCCAAAACCAGCTCTATAGTTCCCAAGGACTGACGGTTGCCTAATCAAAATCGTCAGCTCTGAAACCACGGCCCACTTTAGCTTTTTATTATGCCATCGAGGCCAATGTAAATTCCCGTTTTCGTGCAACTCCGAGGGTCCGGTATGTGTTCACTATGTTTATCGGGTAGATTTATACAAAAATTAAACTTCAGTTTAATTAATTTGCAACAATGATTCTTTTAAATTAATTTTCTTTTAGAAGATAAATTAATGTGCTATTTTTAAAATATAAAAATAATGAAAATAAAATATGTAGCACACTAATTTATCTTCAAAAGGATAATTAATTTTTAAAAACGAGTTGCAAATTAATGAAAATTCTCTTCCGTTTTATCCCTTTACTTCTATAATTTTCGCTAGTTGCAAATTAAACTAACTGAATTGGCTGCTTGCCAAGTGTGTCCTACTAAGCCCAAAACATGTGGCCCCCAGTAAAATAGAAAATAATGGACCCAGTAGTACATCAGGCGTGTGATGCCAGACTTAGTACCCTATGGGTGATGTGGTTACGATCTCGTCGGTCACGTTTACTTCCCAGGTCATTACCTGGTACCCATTTAAGCTGGGTCGACCTGGAAGTTTACCTCTATAGCTCTCTTATCTTGGGGGATCTAATTATCTACTGACAAATCAGATTATAGACCTAGAGATCTACTGACAGCTGAGATAATAGATTGACACGTCTATTAACATTTGCGATAACAGATCTATACATGTGATGAAATGTTGGCTTACATATTCAAAACTGACAAACTAAATAATTGTATGACAAATAGCCTGACACATGACATTCCTGACTTATCATAAATTCGCAAAATCGAGAAGTAAACAGACAGACCCAGTAGTAGTCAGTAGAAGACCAAGAGATCTATCCATAAGAGCGTAGATATTTATCATGGTATGGGGCGTCGCAGGTCCACCCAGCCTAAAATGGGTACCAGGATGGGCTGTCCTGGGAAAGGAAAGACAGCCGGCGTAATGCTGACCACATTACCCACAGAGTGCTGATGGTCTGTAAAAATATGGGTCCTCTTCCCATATGCCCGATACGCCTAAAGGCGTGACAAGGGATCTTTACTTTACTTTTACTACCCATAAGAACAACACCGCTGACACCCAACCTATACCCTGTACCTTGGGAGCAAGTCAGTGACAGACTACAGACAGTGACTTCAGTCAATGGATTCACAACTGGAGATGAGTCCAGTGACCTTCGAACGATCATCTGCTCTTAGTATGATCCAAGAAAACTATCCCGAACAGTCGTGGCGACATGCTTACACAGATGGATCAGCAACCAGTGAGGTTAAAAATGGGAGTGCTGGCATCTTCATCACATTCCCAGACAACCACAACCGCACAAAGTAAATATATGTTGGTAAATACTGTTCCAACTATACACAACACCAATTCTGACTGCCACCAAGTGGTCATCTTCACGATGCGCTTTCGGTGCTCCAAGCCCCCAAGAGTGGTAAACCCTAACCAGAGATCTGAACTTAGCAAGATGGCTGCCCAAATTCGTACTGCACTTCACACGGTGCCACCCCACTGTGGTATACCAGGAAACAAAACAGTGAATAAACTTGCTAAGAAAGGGGCAGAATGTGAACAGGAAGATAATGAAGTAACATACTTTTAGAAGAAAAGGCCATCCGGTCTATCCGAATTGAATAGAACCTGGACAGAGACAACTACCTCTTTCTAGACCGGCATCGATAGGTCGCAGTTCTACGACCCAGGACATGACAAAACAACTTAATTAACAAGCATATGCACAGGCTTAGTCTCAGTAGTTCACCCCCCATGGTGCCATGAGGGCTGTCTGTGCAAATGCAGAACATGTCCTGCAAGAATGTCCCTTGAAAGCACATTTAAAAGAGAATACTAGCCCAAAAATTCAACAGCATATTTACAGTTGTATGGAACTAAAAGAGAACGCTTAAAAACAGTCAAACTGTATCACAACACACACTAAACTAGTCTGTGTAAATAAAAAAACGATCACAGGAAAAAGAGAATAGCAGAAGGAGCAGTGGAGGAAGAAGAACATGAAAAAGAAGAAGAGGAAGAACAAGAAGAAGACCAAAACAAAGACCTACCTCTGCCACTCTTTTCTCTGCGGCTTCACGTTTGATATTGGCTGCTATGAGATTTTCGTTGACGATATCGAAATCATTCTCCAAAAGTGCGTACTTCTTCTGCCAAATGTTCAGGTCCTCTTCAACCTGGATATAGGAAGAAAGAAACACCAGGTTATGCTCAGCGTTTGTCTCACCTTTCAACAAGGAACCCAACACTCTGTTTTTATCTCATTTTATATTGCACAACAAAACCGCTTATATTTAGTCTCATCCTACATCAAATACCAATTAACGGCCATCTGATCCTACATCAAACACCACTCCGCTGTTATCTGATCCTACATCAAACACCACTCCGCTGTTATCTGATCCTACATCAAACACCACTCCGCTGTTATCTGATCCTACATCAAACACTACTCCGCTGTTATCTGATCCTACATCAAACACCACTCCGCTGTTATCTGATCCTACATCAAACACCACTCCGCTGTTATCTGATCCTACATCAAACACCACTCATCTACCATCACATCCCATATTAAACACCACATATTAAGTACACTCTGATCGGAAGGTCGTGGGTTCGGGTCAAGACGGAGCCGGACTTTTTTCAAAAATGACCTTGGCTCTCAGGTCGACCCCGCCTTTAGTGGGCACAATGTGAAGTTCCGGGAAGTAAAGGCGACCGGCGTGATGTTTACCACATCACCCACCAAGTATCAATAATCTATAAAATATATGCCCAATAGTCTAAAGCGTCCTTTACTTTTCGCTTTCATAATTTTTCTTTATTATGTGTTTATGTAAAGGTAAATGTAAATCGAGTTATAAACCATAAGTGCTCTGCCGCCAGTACGGACAGCTGATACTTGCTCCCTGTGAGTTTATTCTTACTTATGTCCGCCTGTGTCGCCGTTCGCACTTAACTCTGTAGCTACAGCGACGTTCTTCCATTTACCCCAGTGTCCATTTCCTAGAGGCTGTGTGAACCCCGGGAGCCGCCCGGTTTCGAACACCGATCGTGGGCTGCAGCGAGTCGCAGCTGGATTTGAAAGCGAGCCTCTTATCGACTGAGCTAACGCGGCCCCATGTGTTGATGTAACTTTAGTAACGCACTTGAAGATATAGGCCGAAACATGAGAAGCTATACCTTGTGCAATATATTATTCGTGTATATATTATTTAAATCCTAAACGAGAAAACATTGTTTTTAATCCCCTATAACGGGAATCCTCTAAAAATGCCAGGTGTGCTATGGCATTAGCGGTTAGTGAGCTGATATGCCCAGTTGGAATTTAAAGGACAGGCTTCCCGCCATAGGCGTGCGTGGCTTATCATAGGAGCCGCTACCCGAGGGGCTCAAGTTTCTTTAAGCCTCACTCATAATTGAGGCAGCCCCCCCCCCCCTTTTTTTTTTTGCCTCAAAAATTGTGTAACCATTCATATAAATTACCTTCAAAATTATTTGTTTGTACACACATTTCATATTATTTCAAGTGGCTTACATCACTTGAGGAAACTCGGATGAGTAGCATATCACAGAGCTTCTGTCCAGTTTAATTGGGTGTGCGGGGTAATAAGCAGATGATAGGTTGGCTGCTGCCGCACCTCTGGGTGGTGAGCTACTTTATGATAAAGCGGACGCGGTGAAGGCTCTCTGGGAGGCATCAAATGGACAGTCCAATAGAACAAACAGAGAACCCATTTTAAAGACTAATTCAACGGGGGAAAAAAAAGGGGAGGGGGGGGGGATATGGAAGTGGTTTAGTAGAACCTCTGAGAAGTATTCAAAACTAAGGGGAAAACAGAAGAAGACTTTTAATCAATTTGCAGCAGGTACTACAAGCAAATGGACGCTTCGTTGGCTACTGAAGGAGACGGAGCATGTGTGGGAGTGTCCCGAGTGCAGTGATATCTATTCATTAATAATATTTTAAGAGTATTATTTAATTTAATTACCATTTAACACATACATGTAAAAAACAAAGGACCATTTGATACGCCTTGAGGCGAACAGGGCATACAGGGCTAGAACAATTTTTATAGACCAGTCGGCATTCTGTGGGTGACTTGGTCAACATCACACCGTCCGTCTTTACTTCCCATGAATATACCTGGTACCCGCTCAAGGCTCGTCGGACCTGGGATCCAGTGTCATTTTTTTTCTTCTAAAAATGTCCGGCCCCTTTAAGGGTGCGAATCCACGACCTTCGGATCTGCAGGCTAGCTTCTAGCCGCTACACCACGGCGGCTTCATTTCTACATCATTACATATTTATTTTGTAAAATGCAGCGTCAGCTTGAGCTAGTGTGATTAACTTCTTTGATGTATTTTACAAATTATCACTTAAACGTATCGTCTTGCTTCAGGCTTGTTCCATTTACTTTGATGTTGCAATTCTGACAGTTTTGGAGCACACATATCCGCGGTAGTACTATTCATCAGCAAGTGCCTTGCCGACTGGAGTCGAAGATCACACCTCTCCACAATCTGCGATTATCAACAGTACCTGTCAGTTCGTGTGTTAACAACCAACCTCGCCTTATTCAAAACATGTCATCACGCGCATCTGCACAGATCACTATCCCTGGTTGCCTGGAACAGCTCTCTTGATGATATCCCTCCATGCCATTGTTTCAACCCATCCAGCATCATCTCTCTTCTTCTTCTTCTTCTGCCTTTCTACTCCCCAATGGAGCATAGGCCCTCATCCAACTCAAGCCAAGTCGTTCTATCCTTCGCCATTGCATGGAGCTCTCCCCATGTCCTCCCAATCTTTCTAACCTCGTTCTCTAGCTCTCTTCTCCATGTGTTTTTTGGCCTTCCTTTATTCCTATGCCCCATCTCTCTTGGTCTGCCTCTACCCCTCTTGACACTGACCTTTCCGGTTGTCATTATATTTTCCAGTGCCTCTATTCTCATTACGTGATCAAATAACAGTGTTTGTCTCCTTCTTATTGTTGTATACAGAGATCTACTTTCAAACAATCGTTAGTAGTTACTCTGGCCGTCCAGGGTACTCGTAGCATATATCTGTTGCTTCCAAATTCTTCTTGATTGGTTCACCGACATTCCAAGACTCAAAACATGTGGATTGGTGTTATGGGTACTTGTCCTAAAATAGCACTTTTGACTGTTATTATACATTTAGTCACTATTCTTTTCTTTGATGTTACCATTATTTCTTTCTCCTCGTGTGGGTACAACCGGTCCCCATTGTGGGGGAGGGAGGGGGGGGGGGTGAGAAGAATAGATCTACTGCCTCCCCCAACAAGGATGTCATACGACTCGACTAACTGGGGACATCCTTCGAGGTCGGAGTACATCTGCCTGAGAGGCAAGCGAGAACAAGTCTGGATACAAAAAAAAAAAGCAAAATCTGTGAAACGGATGTACACACCATACTCTGGTTCTCGAGCAAGACTCAAGTCCGAAAGTGGACGAACACCCAGAGCTTTCAGCCGGAGTGTACAGCCAGTCAACACGAAGAAAACGAAGAAGATTACTTTTTTCTGTCTTCCTAGTGTTCTAGCTGAGGCCCATTACTAGGCGTGTTACGTCTGTTTTTCTACAGTTCAAACTAAGACCTTTGTTGTAACTTATTGCTACAATGCTGTTTTGTAACATCAATGCGAACAAAAAGGAGAGCATGTATGAAATAATTTACTGACATCAAAGAAAGAAAAAGATGCTTAGGGAAAAAAACAGATGCATTTTATGCACTAGGAAAATGTGAAATCTTTCAGAACGTAGAATTCTTTGTAATCTTGCCAAAAGAAATATAGTGAAACAGGGAGAGGTACCAAGCAGCCATACTGTTACGTCATCATCATAACGCATTTCCAGGGCAATTCATACCGGATGCTGAGTCAGCGCTCTCTTATGTTAGAACTCAGGTAAAACGATAGGTGAAATCTGTGCGTTACCTGGCGAACGTAAAGCGTTGAGAGGAGCAGTTACTTGACTTGCTTCGTTTCCGACATTCGTTACTGGCGGTTCTTTGTTAACCTGCTGTTAACCCAGTGGGAAAGGAACGTCGGTCCGCGGGCCGTATAAGGCCAGCGAAATCATCTAACATGACCCGGGCAAAGTAGCGCAATTAAATTGTGGGTCAAACCAAGAAACCTAATTTAGGCTGCTAATTTTGTATGGCTAGTGAATATTTTATAAAAATTCGAACGGTCTTTGGAAGAAACGCAAATAAATCCAGTCATCTTGTGAGATGACATTTTTCGTTATTTGAAGCCCTACTCTGGCTTTTGCCAGGGGCCGAAACATAGCCTGACCATAAATATGGTCTATGGCTGAACGCGGTTTCTGGGACCTCTCCACGGTGACCCTCATTCACATGGTGGCACTTTGTGTCATCGGGTGTTTATCGCTTGTGTGATGTCCTTGTGGGGTAAAAGAAGATAGAAAGATTTGGGAGAAACAATTTCCGCTACTTTGTAACCGTACTGTAATGCTTCCGCACGACTTTTCTATATAGCTATAGATTTGAAAAGGCTTTCGCGATTTGTACCCGTTTAATTCTTATCCTTGAGGTCTTAATCCGGCAGACTACAATCTTCAGAAAGGGGTGGGGATATAGGGGTGGGATGACAAACAGAGAGAATGCTACGACAGCAGGAAAGACCCAATGTATTAGATATGGAGATTGATAAAAAGAAAAAATGAGGAATGGTTAAAGCAGAATGGTATGGATGTCACATATGACAAAAACACAGAAGGATATGTTCTCACCGCCTTTGCCGGCAGAGATGACATGGAAATAATGTATTCAAGGTTTAAGTGTTTTTGTGGTCAATTGTGTAGACGGGATACTTTTCCTCCTCTTCTTCTTCTTCTTCTTCTTCTTCTTCTTCTTCTTCTTCTTCTTCTTCTTCTTCTTCTTCTTCTTCTTCTTCTTCTTCTTCTTCTTCTTCTTCTTCTTCTTCTTCTTCTTCTTCTTCTTCTTCTTCTTCTTCTTCTTCTTCTTTTTCTCCTTCTTCTGCTTCTACTACTACTACTACTACTACTACTACTACTACTACTACTACTACTACTACTACTACTACTACTACTACTACTACTACTACTACTACTACTACTACTACTACTACTACTACTATTTCTATACTACTGCTGCTGCTACAACAACAACAACAACAACTACTACTACTACTACTACTACTACTACTACTACTACTACTACTACTACTACTACTACTACTACTACTACTACTACTACTACTACTACGTCGACCACGACAAAGATGACTACTTCTTCTTCTCCTCCATTTGTCTTCCTCGCTCACTAGAGCTTGAGCTCCAAACCAGCTAACCTTAAACCCCCGCCTCCATGTCCTCTGAATAATATCCATGTACATCCGCAATTTCTTCTCTCTGTGTTTACCGTTCCTCTATGTCTTTTTATTGCCGTCGGTTCCAGGGCTGACTGACTGACTGACTTTCTACCCCACTAGGACATCACACAAGCGATAAACGCCCGATGACACAAAGTGCCACCATGCGGATGAGGATCTCCTTGGAGAGGTCCCAGAAACCGCGTTTAGACAATTGGCCATATTGATGGCCTGCCTATATTGCGGCCCCTGGCAAAAGCCAGAGTGGGGCTTCAAATAACAAAAAATTACGTCCTAAGAAGGACGTAAGGAATCATAATTTAGTCATTTCCAGGGAGATAACATTCAAATTACACAGTTATCAGATTCTCTAAATGTAGGTTTTCCGAAATTTGCTTTCTCCTCCGCATTATGGATTTTAAAACAAACATTTTTTAATTGACAATACTCTTCTTCTTCTTCTTCTTCTTCTTCTTCTTCTTCTTCTTCTTCTTCTTCTTCTTATTATTATTATTATTATTATTATTATTATTATTATTATTATTATTATTATTATTATTATTATTCCTCTTTTTCTTCTTCTTCTTCTCCTCCTCCTCCCCCTCCTCCTCCTTCTTCTTCTTCTTCCTCTTCTTCCTCTTCTTCTTCTTCTTCTTCTTCTTCTGCTTCTTCTTCTTATTCTTCTTCGAATGTCAGACGGGCCTGCGTGCCCAATTTGTAACCCTTTGAAAATAAAGTTTGTTCGTTCGTTCGTTCGTTCGTTCTTCTTCATTGTTTACCGGCTGTAAGCTCCAGCGAAAAGTCCTGGCTGTTCGTCTATTTGAACCTTAGCGTTTGTGCCAGGGCCTGAGTTTTGCGTGTACACACGTGTTACTTCGCGTGTTACTTCACGTGTTGCTTGCTTATCTGTTTGCAGTTAGTTGCTCCTTGCCATTCGGGCAGATGCACACAGACTTCGAAATAAGACCCCAATTAATGGACTCCTACGACATGCAGTGGGTCTAGTCTTGTTTTCCCCACAACGGGGTCCCAGAATCCACACAGGGAAATAATACTGTTGAGGGTGGGGACGACAAAAGCATAGAGGCTAGATGTTCGCCTTACCGCCTGGTTGTCTTAGGTTTGAATCCGCGTTTAGTCTGAGTTATCTGTCAAAGTTGACATTGGCTACCAGGTTGCAGCTTTATGTGACTAGAGTCATATTTTTATAGATCAATGAATGTGGTTAACATCACGCCAGACGTCTTTACTTCCCAGAACTTTACCATGGTACCCAATTAAGTCTGGGTTCACCTTTGAGCCACGAAGATGTTTAGAAAACAACTCCGGTACCATGCAGGTACTTCCCATGAAGTAGAGGCGTTGATGTTCATCTGATCACCTACCGTGTGTCGATTTGTCCATCAAACTTTGCCAGTAGCGTAAAGGGGTCCTTTACTTTTACTGACTTTTACTTTTGATAGCGATGATAACAATGATGATGATGATCATGAAAATAACAAAGATAATAATTATAATGACTGCATACCTTGCTTTTCTGATCAATAACATCCTTAAGTTTCTGCTCCAGCGTTTCTGCCTTATCAAAGGCATTTTCCTTGTCAATCTTCATGGTCATCATTTTCTTCTTGATAGCATCCATTGTTGCCATTGTTGCTGTTAACGATATTAAACCTAAAACAAAGGAATAAAACTGTAGTCTTCGATGGATGATGCCGATAAACTCAACAGAGGTAAGCTGGAGCAGCGAACTTTCTGTCTCACAACGAAGAGACCCGAAACACGAGCGTCTAAGAATCGCAAAGAAAGTGAAAGATAATTTACAACACGCGAACTCTCATAGCACCGCGAGCAGGCACGTGGGAACAAAACGCCGACAGAGATGGGTGTTCGACAGAGGGATACCAATGAGGGCTGTTGAAGTTGGTGCCTTTTGTTTACATTTAACTATTGAGAGCAGTTATCAGGGAATATGGCTCTCAACTCTCCAGGGAAAGGCGAGACGGATGTACAGACAGTTACTAGTACCAACGAAACCTGATCTCTTTGCTTGCTGCTGAAGATGGGGATGGAGCGCTTATGGGAGTGTCCCAAATGGTATGATGTTGATTCCTAATTCAACATTCAAAATTTGACCATTGCGAGCAAAACTAATATTGGTACCACGTTTCGGTATGTTTGATACATTTTTCATTATTATTTGAAAAACTGGCATCAAACGCCCAATCCAATAAGTGTTACTGAAGAAAGATTGGTGTAAATGATGCCATTGGTCATGACAATTTCCAGACTTGCTTTAAAAAAAAAAGAAGTTAATTATACACAAATAATTAAATAATGGAAAGAAATAATATTACTAGATTAACCATCTAATGCTGGGGGAGGGGGGGATGGGGGTGAACGCATCATACAAATTTTCGGTTTTTTAATTTCAGAAGACACATGTGGAAGTGATAGCCTCTTTCGACTAGTATCAACATTATTGCGTAATCTTTTGGCATTCCATCAGTCCTCTGCAGCTGCAGAAAATGTTTTTTTTTTAAACTTGCTAAACAATATTAAGATTTAAAAAAAAAATCTTTGTTCTTTAAAATACTTCAACAATAAATTCATTGTTGAGACCAACGTTTCTGCTCCTGGATATTGATTGTAGCAACTGAAAACCGCCACTTGTAACAAGGTGAGGCCAAAAATGGGATACAGCCATTATGCAATTGTTAGCTCAATGTATGTAGATAAATATATGTGTGTGTGTGTGTGTGCGTGTGTCTGTGAATAGAACAGAATAGAGGAATAAAATGCGAGCCTTATGTGACACATAAAAGCACAAAAGGTTTTTGAATAAATTAAAGAAAATGAATTTGTGTGTGTGTGTGTGTGTGTGTGTGTGTGTGTGAGTGTTTCAGAGACATGTTAACAGTTTTTAAAATCTAAAAAATTTACAATAGATACCTTTTGGTGTGTTTTGGTACTAAAAAAAAAAATTTTGGTACTAATCCCCAAAAAATTTCGCCATCCCTGATACCAAATGGTATATTCCAAACCTTTTTCTAAAAATATCCTTGAAGATTCCGGGGGTGAGTGAAAAGGTGTACCAGCTTATCGGGACAGCTCTTCGGCGTGTGGAAGGTGATGAGGGGGAGGAGGGGGCGGCTGGAGCAAAGCCTCACGTGCAATCGAAGACCCGGTTACCGCCTTGTTTGGCAAGGCTTGTTTTTTATGCTTTAAATAGCCTGTCTATGGAACTGTGTACAAAACACACGGGTACTCAGCGTGGGGTTTTCTACACTGCACACGTTCCTGCAGTCTTTTCTCACACTACAATAACAACTACTACTTCTGCTACTTCTGCTGCTGCTGCTGCTACTACTACTACTACTACTACTACCACTACTGCTACTACTACTACTACTACTACTACTACTACTACTACTACTACTACTACTACTACTACTACTACTACTACTACTACTACTACTACTACTGCTGCTGCTACTACGTATACCACCACCACTAACACCATCACCACTACTACTACCACGACCACCACCACCACATCTTCTTCTGTTACTCTTACGCAAACAGCAACCACCGCCACCACTACCACCAGAACCAGCTTTACGGGCGCCGGAGCGCATGGTTCTTGGTCCCTTGAGAGCCCTTTCCCTGAAACTATAGGGAAAAGAGCCCCCCCCCCCCCCACCCCCCTCCATCCGACCTAAAACGATGTATATAAGTTCTTTTTTTAAGCATTTGTTCCTACAGTATTTTAGACCTTGTTTAAGATATGTATTTATTTGTTTTATAATTTTTATTCGCCAATCAGCACGATATTCCTATTATTATGTACTTAAACAAGGCTTCTGCCTCTTGAAGCTACCTAGAAAATTCATAATGGGGATGCTCCCCCACCCCCTTTTTCATGCCTCATGCTTTCTGTGTGTCGCCGCTCCTTCGCCTAGCTCACGCAAATCTAATCTACCTATATTTAGTTTGTGATGCATGTGCTACTTCGGCCTGTTTTTAATTATACAAATTATATTTCAATCTTGCCTTTAAAGTTGGTGATCTAGTTTAATTGCTCAACCTTGATGTTGTTTACTCATTCTGTTTTCATTCCCAGCTTGTTTACGACTTTTTTGAAAACCCACACAAAGATTTGACAGACTTCTGCCTGGTCAAAACTTCGAATGTCTGACATCGCGAACACTGCATTGATAGCTCGATAGGTCGCACTGTAGGCAATGACTCACATCGCGAACACGGCATTGATCCCTCGATAGGTTGCACTGTAGGCAGTGACTCACATCGCGAACACGGCATTGATTGCTCGAGTGGTTGCACTGCAGGCAACGACTCACATCGCGAACACGGCATTGATCGCTCGAGTGGTTGCACTGTAGGCAATGACTCACATCGCGAACACGGCATTGATAGCTCGAGTGGTTGCGCTGTAGGCAATGACTCACATCGCGAACACGGCATTGATCGCTCGAGTGGTTGCACTGTAGGCAACGACTCACATCGCGAACACGGCATTGATTGCTCGAGTGGTTGCACTGTAGGCAACGACTCACATCGCGAACACGGCATTGATCGCTCGAGTGGTTGCACTGTAGGCAATGACTCACATCGCGAACATGGCATTGATCGCTCGAGTGGTTGCACTGTAGGCAATGACTCACATCGCGAACACGGCATTGATAGCTCGAGTGGTTGCGCTGTAGGCAATGTCTCACATCGCGAACACGGCATTGATCGCTCGAGTGTTGCGCTGTAGGCAATGACTCACATCGCGAACACGGCATTGATTGCTCGAGTGATTGCACTGTAGGCAACGACTCACATCGCGAACACGGCATTGATTGCTCGAGTGGTTGCACTGTAGGCAATGACTCACATCGCAAACACGGCATTGATAGCTTGAGTGGTTGCACTGTAGGCAATGACTCACATCGCAAACACGGCATTGATAGCTTGAGTGGTTGCACTGTAGGCAATGACTCACATCGAGAACACGGCATTGATCGCTCGAGTGGTTGCACTGTAGGCAACGACTCACATCGCGAACACGGCATTGATTGCTCGAGTGGTTGCACTGTAGGCAACGACTCACATCGCGAACACGGCATTGATCGCTCGAGTGGTTGCACTGTAGGCAACGAAGAAATTGTCTTAAAGTCTCTGTTTCTCTCTGTCTATATGTCTGTCTATCTGAGGGTCTCGGTGGCGAAGTGGTCAAGCCGTTTGCCTTACGCTCTAAAGGTCGTGGGTTCGCTCCGCAGCTGCGCCCTTCAGTTTACGAGCGCAATTTTTACGGTCTTTGGGGATCATGGCAGGAGCTACGGAATTCCTTCTCTGTGCGGCAGGCGGCTAGACGTTCTGCTGAGAGAGACCTAGCCAACTGGGATAAAACCCGGTGTAATATAGTCGATTCTCTCGACTTCACGATCCCTGGTTGCATGGAACAGCTCTCTTGGTGATATCCATTCATGCCATTGTTTCAGCAGGTCCAGCACCATCTTTCTTGGTCTGCCTCTACCCCTTTTCCCACTGATCTGTTCAGTTTTCCAATGCATCTGTACTCATTACGTGATCAAAGAACAGCGTTTGTCTTTGTCTTTTTGTTGTATATAGAGATCTACTTTCACTAGCTTTTTTGAACCAATCGTTGTTAGTTACTCTGGCCGTTCAAGGTATTCGTAACATTCGTCTCAGAAACCACATCTCTGTTGCTTCCAAATTCTTCCTAATTTGTTCACTGACATTCGAAGATTCGCTGCCATGCAGCAGAACAGGTTTTTTGTAACATTTTAACACCCATATGAGTGTGTACGTAGGTTTATTTATATGTGTGCGTGTTTGGTATGATTGAATATTTGAATGTAATTACCATCCACGTTTTGGTGTTTTTGACTTAAAACTCAAATATGTACATTATTATTTGAACATAATATGCTTGAAAGATGAGTGTAAGCAAGATGAGTGTCGAATAGGGACCTAATGTAAGACGGGTCTGCATGCCCAATTTGTGACCCTTTGAAAATAAAGTGCGTTCGTTCTATATATCATCATCATCATCAGGTGCCTTCCCGACTAGCGTGGGTGATCACGCCTCTCCACAATCTACAATCTCCTGCAGCATGTATCAGTTCGTGTGCCGACACACCTCCATACCATGCAACAAGACTGTCAAGAATCTTTCCTTGTTGTCTTCCTCTATCCCTCCTTCCACAGATCTTTCCAGTGGTCACCTTATGCTCCATTTTCCATCTTCTCATAACACTGCAGAAAAATGATGATTGTCTCCTTCTGGTGTATGTTCTATACATATGTCTATCTATCTCACCCTCCTCGTCCCTCCCTTTCTCTGTCTATCTCCCTCTGCGTCTCCCCTTTCTCCTTTTTCCCCCATGTCTCATCTTTTGCATTCACCTAAACAAATCTGTATTGAATTTTTTTATTTTCATATGTTTACATCACAGCCCTGCACATAATCCAACAGGTGCTCCCTCTCCCTCCATAACAAAAGGCAAGGTGTAGATACTGATTGTTTCAAGAACATAACTTTAAAAAAAAGTTGGTTGCGTATCTTTTACAGGCCGTTGCAGAACCAACCCCAGCATTTGTTGAGTGTTGTGGTTTTTCTAG